CCAAAGAGGAACTCGTGGAAAAACACCCGTGTGACAAGTAAACCGAGGAAACAATTCATACTTTAATTTTCAAAAAGTTCTCCTGATTAAGGTAGGGTTGCCGTTGTTGTTATCAGCCCAAACTAAAGGGCACATTTGTGAGACTAAAGCACATTTATTCTTAAGCTTCCCAAAATACCGCTAAACCACAGCATCCGATCCTTCTAAAACAAAAGAAGACAACCTAATACCGGAGAAAATACCGCAGATACTCCTAAATCATCAAAATCGCCTATGTTCTGATTTGCACCAATTAAAATCCTTCGCACGTCGATGGCCGGCTTTACCTGTGAGCAACCCCCCCTTCCCCCCGGGGTCTGCTTATTAATCTGTTTATACAACGCGGTTTATTCACTCCGACAGGCATTTAAATACTCGGATGGAATTTGCTGTCATCGCTTTGATAAATATAAGGCTACAGTGACCGTGGTTTTTCTTTACACTAACATATCTTAAGAAGAAAAGGCTTTGAGGCAATTTGGAGTTAATCCTTGGAATGTTGTCACGAGAACGTCTTCGAGACAATGCGTGCACTCTATAACAACTTTTGATAAACTTAAATAGATGAAAATGATCTTCGACGTCGATAAGGGCGGTGTAAAAACAAGTGGGAGTTCTTCTTGTTGCTTCGGAAAACATTGACCTTCATGAAAGCGAAGCGTGACTGTAAAATATTGGTTTCCGGATGTGGCAAAAACAACTTGGGAAATCGCCCACCTTACATAGTTGTTCTTTCTTTAAAGAGTCATGCTACAAAGCGCAGTTTAATTAAAAAAAATACAGCACTAGCTAGATATATTTCGTCACGAGCTATTCCAAAAATTAATTCCGCTGATGGCACAGGAGTTCCCGTTACGATTCATGATAATTGCCGTATCAAGGTTATCAGACTCCCGATAAAGTTAAATTATGTTTATATCACTGATCTGCCAATTTCACGAGACGTATTGTACTTACGACGACTTTCATGCATGGAACAAACATAAAAATAAATAAATAAATAAATAAATAAATAAATAAATATAAAAAAACAACAACCGTTGCAGAAGATACCAAGAAAGAAAACGGGAACTTTGCCACCACTCTAAAAAAAATGTTAAGCTTATGTGTTCCACAGAAACACATGGAATATCAACGGAGTATAAGCAGTGAAATTGTTCTTCACTTACCTTGTGCGACTGCAAACTGTACGGATATCACAGCAAATACAAATACACCGGGGAGAAACATCCGCTTGTTATTCATGGTCCTAGAATCTCATTTTGTAACGGCGCAAAGGTCCGTTAGGATGCAGTTCCTTCCATGTTCAGCGGAGTGTCGAAAGCTCATAAAATTGGCCGATGGAATACGACAACTTGACAACTATAACAGGTGGGGCTGTAAGTCTTCCTCGTAAACGCAACTTGAAAATGCTGTCGATGAATCAATCGATCTGAGACGCAAAATGGAATGGATAGTTATGTTGTGGCTACCTCCCTGCGAATTGACCATTAATTCGTGATATCAGTTTTGATACATCAGAAGGTCACTATATAAGCAACCGTGCTTGCAGGAGCTGGTCAGAGCTCACGCGATGACAACTTGTCACAGACTGTGTGTGCACGTCGGGAAAGTCCATGCGTTATTGAGGTCTAGCGTTGCTGAATAATCAAGCCTTTCATCTGTGAGGTGTTGATTTTGCACTGTCATCGTCATCATAGCTAAATCCGCAAGTAGTCGCATAGAAGGCGCGTTCGTAACGCCGTTCTGATGACCACCAAACATCAAAAACTTTATTTTTTCAATCTGTAGTCCAAAACGCTTTTAACTTCACATGTAGGACAGGTCAGCACGGTCTCTTTTCCAGTTTTCATGTCTTCCAAAGTGTCTTAAAAAGTGGGTGTGGGATCCAGTTTCCCGTTGATCGTCTGTGAGACTTTATTTATCGCAGCAAGTAGAACGTCTACCGCGGCGCAGTATAATGCGGCTTATGTGTAATCTGTATGCGATTACAACAGACTTTGTACATGTATAACAGATTCAAGCTGAGAATATCAGTTGACAAATAGAGGTACAGCTGTAACACGACTCAATAAATTTAACCTTAACATAACCTGTTTTTGTTTTGTCATTATGACTTGTTTCCTAATCGATCCTTCGGTGCAAAAGAGATGAAAACTGAGGAGGGAGTCATTCGATTTCCAGTCTTGAACTTCCTTTAATTTTGTTTTGCCACCAAAATAGCTCTCGATCCATTTTGCCTTCCACAGCATGGGAAGGAATGCCATATCCATTTCAAAGCGTCTAACTTTTCATACTTGAAAGATGCCGATGGTAAGACAGAGATTGTTCACTTTTATGAGGTAAATTTCCCAAGTATTGTCAAAAGACCCCCGTGTAAAATATCTAAGATATGCGGGAAATAAATGTGCAGGTAAAGACTAGAAAACAGTATTAGCTCCACAGCAGTCATGGTAATATATATTAACTGATTTAAGTCACTTATAGTTACCGTGTGGTTCAACATTTTTGCGGGAGTTTAACTTTGCGGATCGGCCATTTTTTGTGCTTTGCGTGAACTAATTTTTGCGATTGGGAAAGACTGGCTTTTCAAGCTGGGTATCAATATTTGCGCGTTTCAGTAAGTCACCTTCAATCAGTCACTCTAACAATTACGTCTTGCTCTGGTGTAGCTAATAGTACCTGCGGACGATCCTTTTTGGTTACCGTTTTAGCAGCTACACCTGTAGTGTACCATGCGCAATTTCATCGTTTTCTTTAAACAGAAGTTTTAAAAAAATGGCATCATTAAGATTTTACAAGTGAAGTTTCGCCAATGGAGTAAATTTTTGCGGAGAATGGAAAATTTTCGCGGGAGCTTTTTATTGCGGATCGTGGAAAAAAACCCGCAAAATCGCCAAAATTAGAACGCACAAAATTTTGTGCCTAACTGTATAGAGGTAAGAAGTCTCCGATGGTTCTGTCCTACTTAAAAACTCATTTTACAGTTACAGGTTTATGAAAGGAAGGCAGGAAGGACTTATGTTCCTTTTTGTTGTTAACTTTTCTTCGGTTCCACTGTTGAGTTAGAGAATGCACGCCTCGTTGCCAATGAAAGGTATTTCGTTTAATGTACCCTCAAATGCAGCTCGTCTGACCTTTTAAAATCTAATCACAAAATTTTGTGCCTAACTGTGTAGAGGTAAGAGGTAAGGTTCTAATCACAGCTGCGTTCCAGGTCACGTACGCTAGCATTTTGTTTTTCACTGAGCGACGGGATAAACATTTCTGCCAAGAAAAATCTCAGTTAAACTTACCTGTTTTATGGTAGCCACTTATACGTGATAATTGGATATTTTTCTTCCATAAAAATACACCGCAGCCGTTTTTCTGATAACTTGGTCATTAAATTGTAATTAATTTTGAAATTAGATTACCAAGACAACAACGAGCTACAATAAGGCAGCCATGATTTGTTGCGTGATATCTGTATCGCGTGCTTTGCATTCAACGGCGAAATAACTTTTTCATGCGTGACCTACTTTGACCTTCTGCTTGCGTTCGGTGCGCGTAGGAGCGCAACATTTAATCGAGCACGAAAGCCTTTATTAGGTATTGCAGACAGTCAAAGTTGTTAATGAAACTTAAAAGAAGTGTATTTAGGCTATTAAATCGCAGAATTATGTGATAGCTCATTGACAAGTGGTCGATAAAATCTATATCATGAGGTGTTTTTTCCTATTTGATAACTTGACCATTGATCATGTGGTCGCTAATTACCCCTCTGATAAAAATTTCTCACGCCCAGTACGATTTGGATCAATTTCGCCATCAGGCAAAGATAAACGAGTTGATGTTTTATAAACTGTGTCACTTAATTTGAAGCTATTTGAGTTTGCTCATATATATCTTCTAGTTTTGCTTCTTTAAGTATTCATGTCCTTTCTCTTTGATTTTTCTACCTTTTTCGGCCAAGTATTTCTCATCAGACTTATGAAGCAAAAACGAATTTGTTCAAGACGCCTTGTTTATTTTCAAGGACCTCCCTCAGTGTTGGTATCAGTTCTTTAAATCACTCAGTACAGGTAGTGATTGGGGAAAGTGTCGGATAACTAAGATAAAAATGCAATCCCTAAAAAACATATTTTCCATTTCGGAGCAAATTTGTTGGCATAGGGTAAAATATGGCCTGGACCATTGGACCCTTGGTCCTTTGAACTAAATTTTTTAAGGGGTGGGTAGGTAGTTTTGCCAGGGGGGTGGTTTATCATATGTTCTTCCTAAGGGAGGGGTGGGTAGGTGAATTTTGTCAAAATATATAACTCTTACTCATCGAAAATTGATACTTAGGAAGGGGTGGGTAGGTAGGTAATTTGTCAGGGGGAATGGTTAATCACATGTTCCTTCTTAGGGAGGGGAGTGTAGGTAGTTTTCGTTAGGGGGAGATATGCTAATTACAGCACTTGTATCATTACACATGATAAACCATCTGAAAGCAATGGTCACACAACACATGTACGCATGCGCACAGCCTAGTAACACGGAAGGGGAATGTGAGTAAAAGTTGTCATCTATGAGGGGAGGGGGTCGTAATTATTACATAAAAGTTATCAGCATTAGGGAAACTTTTTTCAATTCTTGTCCGCTAAGTCGCTTACTGACTTACGTCAAGGTAACTTGCTGCTTCGACTATATTTCCGTCGCGGATAAGATCCGTCATAAGAGCTATTTCCATTTCCTTTAATCTTGCTCTGACTTACAGCGCTCCACAAAAGAAAACATTTTTGGACAGTTACAAAGTCATTCTAGCTATAAAACTACCTACCCGCCCCTTAAAAAATAGTCCAAAATTTAGTCCAAGAAATAGTCCAAAAAATAGTCCAAAAATAGCCCAAAGGTCTAAGGGTCCAATGGCCCAGTCCATATTTTTCCCTAATTCAAATTTGTTTGTGTTTTGATATCGGAGGTCTACTGACTGTTAGAATTCTGTGAATTTCCGGTCCGTTAACCACCGTTTCAAACAAGAGGGATCGCAATTGATCAATACCAATCGCCACAGACTTGTAACTACGAGGGAAAAACGAAGTTGCGAACCTGAGTGGTTGCGTCCTCAAACAGTATACCTTGTTGTTTGTGTTATTTTGAGTAACAAATTATCAAACCGCAAAAACTAACCCATTTCTGCGAAACCAAGGGTGCATTTCTTTAAGAAAATCCAGTAAAAACTTTTACTTTACAATTTAGATACCAGTAATATGAATACATATAAGAGAAAAAATCATTTCTTTTGCCAGACTGAAGGTTGACATTTGGGTGACGTGACTACTCTTACTCTCTGTAATGGACTATCCAAGAGGTCTCCGCCCGAAAGAGAAAACGTTTCCAGGCTTGAGGTATGTGAACTATTGGAGTGAAATATTATCTGCATGAAAGAAATCAAATAGGTTGAATCTGTATGAGAACATTTCCTGGCAGAGTTGCCTAGAATGAAGAGGTAGGGCCTCGCATTGCAAAAATACCAGTCTGTAAGAATTAACTCAGGTTTATAGTGGGTAACTGGTGCCTCCGATCCCTTTCCTGCATTTGTCACTTTTAAAATACTCATAGAAATGATGCTTGTTCAGCATATAGTGGCGATTCTCCTCCAACGCTAATAAGACGACAAGCACGAGTTTTCTGCGGACGAAAAACAAGGGCGACTAGTCTAATCGCTTTAGTATAGACATAAAGACGGAAATTGGCCCCACCGGGGCCACTTCCTTGAAGTGGTGAGGCTCGTTGAGTGTCTCTGTGGACCTGTCTGTTAGGGGCACCTATACCGAACTAGTTGAAGGGTAGGGACCAAACTAAAGGTGATCTCCTGGCCCCGGATGTTCAGAGGATAGATAATACCATGCACTAGATTAATCACTACCCACTGGATAGTGTGATCTATCTTGTTGATACTTATCCACTGGATAGCGATTTCTCCGGTGGATAGCGTTATCCACCCTTTGAACGACTCGGGCCAGAATCTTCTCTCCTGGCCCGAAGGAGAGCAGCCCAAACAAGGGTTAGTAGGACACAGGGCAGCCAATCCCTCACTAAGGAAGCCGCCGGGCCGATTGAGATTGAAATGCCCATCAATATTTCTAAATCTTTTTAGAAACATCGGAAAAACGAGAAAACGTTGCCTTCATGTGGATCTGCACAAAAACGACTGATTATAGGTGAGTCAATCAAATTGCAGCATTTCCATTCTTATAATAGTAGAATTAATCAACGACGAGGGAGCCAATCATATTCGCGAACTTACGATAGGACAATTCGTGTGTATACAAATGAAATATTTTATTGACATTTGTTTATAGCTGCAGCTCGTGGTTAATACATTTGCAGATATTCTATAATAGCCTAGCTTACTAGCGTGATATGACCCCTTTAGCCTCCTGACTTAAACTACGACTACTACCAGATTCTTCCATCCAGCTTTGTTTCAAATGTCCTGCAAAACGTGGAGCAGAAGTAACACAATTAGGGAGTATAACATGGCATGGCGTGACGTAGAGTGACGTGGCATGGCGTGGTATGGTGTGGCATGCTGATTGTATATGATAGCTCAGGCAATCAGACTGGGGCATTTCCATTATTATAATAATAGAACTCTGCATGGCGTGGCGTGGGTTGGCGTAGCCTAGCATGGTATGGTATCCTGATTGTGTACGATAGCTCAGCCAATCACATTGCAGCAACTTTCTTATTACAATAATAGAATTTTAGCAATTTCAACTGAAGTACTCACCTATTTCTACACTACGCAAGCTTTGGACACAAGCTCCCTTTGAAGTCTGTCAATATTGCCAATTTCTTGTTCCGAGAGAATGCGATCGTTGCTTCCAGTGATAACCTTTAAGTCCCTAGTGTTAACATTATCTCCAAAGCCAACAGCTAAGACTTTAACTCGCTGAGCCTGAAGTGGTTTGATGGCGGTAACCAGCGGGTAATATCCGGGATCTTTTGACTGTCGTCCATCCGAGACGAGGATCAAAACCTGAAAAGCGAAATTTTCCACAGAAAATGAGAAAACCGGTTAAGGAACGTTGCTGGAGTTTTATTTCTTGAAAGATCGTTCACTTTTGGAACACCTTGCTGTTAAATTGGTGGACACATGTTCAAAACGGAAGACTAGTGGGAACAACAGAACTGGATACAAGTCCCTGCCATCTTCTGTTTTAATATCCCGCCAATTTTGTCCATCTTTTTCACACAAAGAAGATTCTTCTGTTTGATAATAGTACAACCCTTCGACGTTATGCATCAAAATGAAGGCGCTTGGAAATAGAAAACCAAAAGCGTTGACAAATCTTTTCCCAGCACTTAAACGTTTTCTATCCATCTATTAGGAAATGTATAGCAGTGAAGGTTTAACAACAAAAACAACGTGGTTCATATCGTCAAGGCAAAATAATTTTGTTACACAGTAAATGGAAACCGATGAAAACGCGAGTTCCTTATGAAGCAATTTTATGGTAGAGTTTAAGTAATTATTGTTTTTGAGGTAGTCTACTGAGTGTATCGTAACCGATATGTTATAATAATGCTGTAACAAAGTAACAACAACAACAAAAACAACAACAAACTAATCACAATTCAATGTAAAACGAAACAAAACAAATCAGCTTGATTACTGGCCGAGGGGAAAACTGAACTTCAAGAATTACGCGTTAAGTACAATTTAACCGCCTCTGATCTTCAGTTACATACTTATCTTCTCAAAAACACAAAAGCCGGGGAATTTTTCTTGCCTCAGAGGTCGCTAATATTGGTCAAGATTTTCTCTTGCAGGATCTTGCTGTTTTAATTTGAAGTCAATGCTTACGTTAATGTCTGGGTGCTGCCACTGGGGAGTTCTCATTTAATCTCACTCTGGTTTACATGCTTTTATGTTAAGAAAGCATTTCGATTGAAATCCTGAGAAGAGAAAGATCCCAGTAGAGTATTATTCTCACTCACTCTGGGAACGCCACTTCTTCTGTTAGTGAACAGGTCCTGTGATGTCGCCCGCAAAGCCAGGTCTATTCTCGATCTTCCTCCTTGGAATGGTACTTCGTCCACGGTCGCTTGGAACTGGTCAATTGTCTTTCGTTCAAAGTCTCCGAAATCGACAAATAGATTCGGTGTATCACTGAACACTATCAGACCTAGTCTTGTGTCGGGTGAGGTGGCCGCAAAACGTCTGGAGACCAGCCTCACGAAGTTCTTCTCTCTAGAAAAGTTCTCCAATCCCACACTCCCAGAAGCATCCATTAGAAATCCCACGTCAATGGTCTCTTTACAAGGTGCCGTTATGGTGAAATCTTTGAAAAAAGACAGTTTAGGTCAGTGCTCATTATAAGTCAGAAGTGACTCCGTTCGTCCGTCAGTCAGTCAGTTAGTCGGTCAGTCCGTCCGTAGGTCCGTCAGTCAGTTTCTCAGCTAACCAATCAGTCTGTCAGTCAGTCAGTCCGTCAAACATTCAGTGGTCGGTGGGCTATTCATTCTGTCTGTCGGTCTGTCTGTCCTCCAGTCTGACGGTCAGTCATTTGGTCAGTTGTTCAGTTGATACTTCGGTCAGTTGGTCAGTCGGTTATTCGGTCCTTTAGCTAGTCATTTAGCTAGTCAGTCAGCCATTTTATCAGTCAGTCATCAGTCGGTCAGTGAGTATATCGGTTGGTCGGCCAATCGATCTGTTGGTCGACCCGTAGTTGGTGTGACGGTCAGTCTGTCGATCAGTCAGTCACAAAATTATAAGCAACTCTTCTTTTTTACCTATAAGCTGCGCAATGGACTCCACTTGACGCAACAGATCTGCAAAGCCCGTTACTCTAACAGTGTGCTCAGAATTTTGCACCATGGAGACAAGTTCTTGACTGTTCAACCTATTTCCAATTCCAACGACAAAAACAGTAACGCCGAGGGCTTGAAGGGGTTTGACTGCATTACGCAGCAACACCAATGAACTGGAAAGGTATTGCTGCCCCTCCACAAGAACGACAACGAATTTTGGTAATGCTTGGGACGATTTCTGAAGAGTTTCGCCAGCCAATGTCAACGCCTTGTTTTAAAAGAAAGAGAGATAAAAACGTATTAATTTCTTGCCAACTATAGAAAGAAACAAGGTTAGAAAAAAGTTATCTTTCTGGTCGCAGGTTAAATACACCTCTTTGGTGTTCTTCGTGACAAAAAGATTAGAGGTCTGTGCTCTGGCCAACAACCGCCCAGGAATGTTGAGCTTCTTCCTATTTGTGTAGGTTGACCCGACTATGGGTATTTCTACTCCCCTTGAACGGGACGCTAGACCCTATCATCGGGCTAGGTTGCGCTAATAGTTCGCCGTTTCCCATGTTTTACTCCTGGGTGTAGAGTTGCACTCTGAAAGTAAAGTTCCTCGTCCAAGAACACAACACAATGGGCTTGGTAAGCGCTCGAAGCTAACCGCTCGATCCTGAGCCCGACAGACTAATCATTAGGCTTCGCTCCTTGGCATAGGAGCTCGACAGCAAGAAAGTTGGCAAGTAAGCAACAAACACACATTCTTTTATTCTATATTTCTGTCAACTACTTACCTTATGGAGAGACCGGCCACTGCGTTGAAATTTAAGATCATCCAGTAAGGAGTAAAATTCCTGGAGTGTGCTGTAATCATCTAGTCCTACGTTCAACTGTGGGTCGTCACCATACAAAATGACTCCAGCTCGTGTCCCAGTGGGAGACACGTTAAGGCGCTTAGATATTGACTTGATGAAGTCGAGCTGGCCCTCGTACTCGCTTTTACTGCGATACGCTGAAGAATCGACGAGGAACAGGCCGTGTCTAACTTTCTGTGGTGTTCCAGCTGTTTTTAAAGATAAAAAGACGATAATATAAAAGGACATTCGTATCCTTACAGAGCAAACAAATGAAGGCGTTAGAAGTCGGCACTTCAGTCTAAAATTCAACAGTTCAGGGAGACAGTAAAAACAATTCGTTGCGTTCGTGCGGATCGGTGGCCAGATGAACACGTATGTCACGAAAGAAATTAATTTCTCGGGAAAATGAATCATGTTATTCTTTCAATAAGACATGAGTTTCCAGAGATCGAGAAAAGACGAACAACTTAATAATTCATCATGCTTTCAACCGACGAAGTCATAGCTATGAATATGGTTTGGAATCGCATCTTAATAAGCATAGAATTGTACGATTTCGTTAGTGAATTTGTCTGTCAGTTTATCGCTTATTTCAAATTCGATTCGCAAGATATATCAAACACACGAGACAGGTTTTCACATTTCCAAACACATTTCCAAAGGGCTGCGTTTTTAGGGCCGTTATTCCTACTCGTAGCATTCTCAACCGGTTAACAAATTCATGCAGATTGAAATTTTGTAATTATTTTGAAAGAAAATGAGAGTCCACCTTGCTCGGTGCCTTAATTTTCCTGAATAATACCTCTTGAAGATTTAGGTCTTTGTTGGGTTGACATCGCGACTCCAATTGATATCAACGCGTTAAGCATTTCAGAAACATTTTCTAAACGTACCGGAAATCATATGATCATAGAAAGCTGGAACTTGCAGAACCATGCCCCCAAACGTCCTCGAGTAAAACAGGTCACCAGGTTCTGACGTTATTTTACTAAGCTCTTGCATTGATACATTTCCTCCCGCTCCAATAACGCTGATTTTCACATCAAGTTGATGAAGTGGTTTAGCAGACGCATCCAGTGGGTCGCGTCCGAGAGGTTGCTTGCCATCAGTGAGCAGGACGAGCATCTTATTAACGTTTGGTCTTGCTTTGGAGAGGATCCTTGCAGCAAAGACCAAAGCCTTGTCCAGTCGCTTCGGTCCTGCTATGTAAGGTACGACGTCAACACCTCTTGAAAACGACTGAATGCTGGTGTATTCTTCAAATCGTATGCTGTGAGTTGGTGTGTTACCGAACGTTACAACGCCGACCCGTGATTTATCAGGGGAGATGTCGAGCGTACGAGCGAATACCTTCACAAAGTCAAGTTCTCTAAGAAACTTCTCCTTGCTTATACTCTGAGAAGAGTCCACCACGAACAAAACATCAGCTTTGAATTCTCTTGGTAGCGGAGCACCTGTAACAAAGAGACAAATATAACGGAGGGCCAACCAAGGGCGATGTCATTGTTAACAATTTCAAAGAAAAAATACCTTGCTTTCATATAGGAGATATATATTCTAAGAAGAAGGGCGAGTTAGCACTTGAAACGTCAGCTTTCCAAATACGTTTTGTGGAAATTAATATGTACTTATTGACTGAGTGGGAGGGGCGGACGGGAAAATATTTGGCTCGAGGTCAGCAGGTAGGGAAAGACTTTCTTGCAAACTAAAATACAATAAAATCACCGTTTCTTTCAAAAATTTAACTCTTCTTGTTGACTTTTTGCCCCTAATTTGTTGCTGTTCTTCACATGTATGTATGTATGTATGCTCTTCTTCTCTATTGAGACTATAATGTCTAATAATAAGATACATAGCTAGATAGGTAAAGAAGGGCCCATAGCACCGTAGCGCATCCCGGTTTCTGTAGCACTAAGTGACGAGGAGTATTTCACTCTGTTAGTCCATCGCAGGGTTAACCCCGAGCAAAAAATCCGTTGATACCCGCTTATACGCCTAGGGTGGAGAGGGGCATTGTAAGAGTATCTTGTATCTTGTCTGAGAACACAACATAATTACCCGGCCAGGGCTCGAAGCCTTCACACGACCTCTAACAATACCTGCCTTTAAAATGTTTGAAATGAAGAGGCTCTTGACAAAAATTAGGATAAATATTGATTTTCATGCACGTCTATGAGAGAAACAGCGAAGATTGAGCTGTTGAGCTTACGGGGAGAAATTTAAAATATTCTTTTGTTCATTTCCCACAGCTTCAACACTTTCATCTGTTTTGGTTAAATAAGGTGTAATAAACTTTACTTTAGTTTTCCTTATCATACTTCAACTCAGAAAGTGCTTACAGATATCAAGTAAATACCTGCTTGGGAAGCCATATAAACCACAAACAAAGGAGCGTGTTGTTTCAACTCATCCGGAAGGACTCGGAACACATCTCTGTCGTGCTCCGCCATTGAACGTAATTCTTGCCCGCTTGGTCTAGAGCCAATGCCCACCACAAACACACGCGCACTGGAGTCCAGGAGCGGCTGGGCAGCCCTGTCGAGCGGTGTGGAAAACGGTGTAGAGGCTTGACGGCCAGCTGTCAGAAGGATGACATACGTCGGGACATCCGAGCGAGCGGTTTCTCTTATTTTGTTGGCTTCCTTGAGAGCGGCATCCATGCGCCTACTTCCACCAAGGTACTGAATGTTTTCAATTGCCAGCACCAGATCAAGAAGATTATTAAAGGTGTTGAATTTAATAACGGAACTGGCAGTTGAGCTGTATCTAACGACCGCTGCTCGTGATTTGTTTGCTGCAATCTGGAATTTTCCCACGATCGACTTGATGAACTCTTTCTGTTGTTTAAAAAGTTTAGCTGAGACGTCATTAGACGAATCCAGTAGGAAAATCAGGTCTGCTCGGTGAATGAGTGTTAATTCCATTCCTAGAAAGGAAACAAATGTATTAACTGTTTATGGTATTGTGCATTTTTTATTGTATCACACTAACGTTCCAGAAATGAATTTATTTCATTTCCTGATTTGATATTTGTTTGACTATCATCAAGTTATGCCGATGTATAACAGTGATAATAGCGTCTTATCAGTAAGATTATCTCATTTTCCTGAGTTCTTTTTTGCTGACTTTTATTAATGATAAGTGATGGTAATAGGCGTGAGTGAACGACACCAAGAAGGAATTAATCATAAATATGAAATAAATATGAAGGAAATATTAGACAAAGCGAAGCTTGTCTACGATTAATCATCTCCAAGACAAAGGCCACTGGCAAAGAGCCATTTCTAAAAGTTTTGCTGAGATGTTGTTATTAGACACCTTAGCTGCTCGCGCTCCTTTTTCGTGAAAAATAGGGTGTACTGAGAACCAACCACATTCGAGATTTTGTTTCTCAAAATCGAGTGAAAATCATATCCGTACCCTTGAGAGCGTCTTGCCTCAGCTGCTTGCTTAACAAGTGCACATTGACAATGACTTCATCGGGGGTTGGGATGATCTCCACAGCTTTCGGATTCCCTGTGATGAGGTTAAGCTCTCGGCTGTCAGGTTCTTTGCCGATCCCAATAACAACCACATTAGCGTTAGCATCACGTAATGGTTGGGAGGCTTCGTCCAGTGGCGTCATCCCAAACACTTGAGCCTGCAGTCCAGTAGTTATCAAAATAATAATCTTGGCAGCTTTCGGTCTTGTTTGTGATATCTGTTGTGCCGCAGCGGCCAGAGCTAAATCAAGTCGTCTTTCGCCTTGAACAAAAATGAGTAAATAAGATTAGTGTTCTTACCCTTTCTGCGATTACCTCTACTCATAAAATTAAAATCTATCGTGAGAGTCAATCGATTTTTTGTAGCTAACGTCAAAAAAGTATCGATTGTATCGATTGATTGATTAAATGATTGATTGAAAAGTTTGCAATGATTAATCAACGTGGCGGTTGCATGTAAAACCTTGAAAAAGTGTCAACAGGATTGAAGCCTTTGATGTACCGTTGCAAATGCTTTTCCAAGGGAACTAAGAGACCCTTCACGCGGGGCAATGGCGGGCTTTGTGAAAGGGAAAAATTGAAAGGGAAAGTAATCTATGTGGTTGCATATAAAGTGAGCCTCCGTTAATTTTCTCCGTTTTTGTTTCATCACAAAAGAATACATGCATTATGGAGTAACGGACATCCCAGGACCAAAACCTATTTCAATAGACCTTTCCACCGATTCTGGCGAAATTTTGGTTTCGGGGGGAGGGGGAAGGGGGCAAACGTGATCAAACTTACAGTGAATGTCGACACTAATGGAATAATAGAAAGAAAGTCCCTTACTAGCAGAAACACATTTGAAGGGCGGCGTGGTAAGCAAGGAAGGAGGGGGCGTCGTTATTCAAAAGGGGGTGTTTTATCGGGTCATAACGTTTCAATATAAACGCGGTGTAAAGGTCATGCTCATGAAAATGTACCAGGACGATGCAATCACAGAACAATAATAAATAGATGAAAGTTATAATGGAGGATAACATGATTCTTCGAAATTGTGGATGGACGAAGTAGCAGGCAAGGGAAAATTGTTATGGGTTTGAAAAAGGAAGGGTTTATTTTGAGGCTCAGTTGTATCATAATTTTATGCGTACATTTGAAGGACATAAGACATTAGACACGGTCCAATTCGCATCTTAGCGTTTCCTTTTCGGCATCCCTAGAAATGCTGCAATTTGTTGTGGAGTTTAGGACGATCAATTTATGATAACATGTACACACAAAACAGCCCACACCTCTTAGATACGTTGCCCGGTTGACTACTTCTTCAAATCTTTGCGGAGTGGTGTAAGAATTTAGGTCTGCCAACACAGTTGCTGAAAAACTGTATACCACCAGACTCGCACGAAAGTTGTCTGCTGAGTTACCCAGGCTCCTCATTATCGACTTAATGAGGTCTTTTTGACTTTGAAAGAATCTTGGGCTGTCGGCTGTGGAGGCGTCCATCAGAAATATGACGTCAGCATTTAGTCTTTTCCGGCTGATGATACCTACAGCAAAGATAAACGGCTAAATTAAAGGGAGCGAGCACTTTGGTTGAGCCTTCGTTGACGTTGTAGCGAACCAAGTCCAATCAGAATGTCCGTCATGAGGCTACCCATGATGGACATAAACACGACAATATCCCAAGCGATCGACTGACTTTTAGGGAAACGTGGTATACAACAGCGTTCTGCATGAAACTTGCTTTATGGAATTTATTGACTTAAAAAGCTTTTGGTTGTCTGTCTGGATTTGTTTTCTTTTTAACTCTGTTAAACTAGTAGAAGCACAGTATTGTACATCTACCACTTCAAATAGTCTGTTCCAAACTCACGTATCTTGTGGTAAATCGGATTTTTCGCTGTTTTCTTAATACTTCCATTTTGGCCATTTCCCTAAATCTGGGCATCTCCTACTGACTAGCGCTAAATTTTATGGCTTGACCTACCTTCCTCTATTCCCCGTGTCAGTTGAGGCAGAACCTCGTTAAGTGAATCAAACCAGGCCACTTCGGATACATGCTTGGTTGAGTCCTCTACTAAGGTTTCAAAGTACTTCCGATCGAGGTCGTTAGCGATGGAAACAACGTAGAACATTGCACCTATGGAGTGAAGTGGCACTGCAGACTCCGCTAAAGATGGAGCATTCAGGGGCTGCTGGCCAGTAGTTAACAGAACCACCATTTTGGGAACAGAGGACCGCGAGTTTCTAAGAACTTGAGCAGCAGCTTGGAAGGCTTTGTCCATTCTGCGGGCTCCACCTACAGAAGATACGCGGTCTACTAAAGTCTCAAATGCCTGGAAGCTGTTGTAGCTATTAAAGTCAATTGCCAGTGTGGAGCTAGAACCGAAGGCGATAAGAGCAGCCTGAGATTTCCCTGGGGATACGTTTAAACGTTTGGCCAGTAACTTGACAAATGCCTTTTCTTTTTTAAAGTTGAGGGAGTTCACTCCATCTGATGTGTCCAAGAGGAAAACAACGTCTGCGATGTTATCCGGACTCAGGGAACCTAGAAATAGATAAATACAATGAATATCTTATAAAGAATAAAACTTACTATCCCTTCCAAAACGCACTTCCTTGAAGTTCTAGCTTCTGTAGACATTAAGTACATAAGTGTTTTTGAAAGCCATATAGACTCCAAACAACAAAATAAAGATCTCAGCCTGGAAGAAATAACTTCGTGTGTACAACCTTTAAAACAGTACGCTCGTGTGGTTTTGCCCCTTACCTGCCCTCTCAGTTATAAGATTTGCAATCCGGTTTTCTTGAATGCTTAATTCAGTAAATGACTGCACTGTAACCACCTCTTCTGGAGAGATAACTAGCGGTTTCAATTCCTGGAGGTCTGTTTGTTTCCCGATGGCGATGACATAGGTTTTGGTACCATGGCGACGAAGAGGCTGCACGACATCTTCGAGAGACTTCCCGCTACTTGCCTGTCTCCCTGCAGTAAGGAAGATCACAACTTTCGAAGAGGCTACCCCTGCTTCGTTCAGAAGCCGAGTCACCATTTCCACGGCTTTATCAATTCTTCTTTCACCTCCAACATACGAAGCATTGTCAACAGACCTGTCAAAGTCAGTCAGGCTCTTGAGGCCAATGAACCTGGAGCTGATTGATCCATGATCTCCGTAGGAAATCAGGGCTGCACGTGAGCTATCCGACGATATATTGAGACTTCGAACGAGAGACTTGATGAAGTCTTTCTCTCTGGCGAGGTCTTCTTGGCTGACTTCATAAGAAGAGTCAATTAAGAACAAGACATCAGCTTCTAATTCTGGTTGTTTCTTGGTAGCTGTAAACGTGAACAAATGATAAAAATCTCAACAATGACAGAAAGAGAACCTGTAAATGTATATTTGAAAACGTAATACAAACGCGGTAATAAGCACTTCCTAAAGAGTAATTGTATATCAAGCTACTTGTTGTATTACTGCTGAAATTGACAAGTATAAAACGTTTTCTGGAACAAGACCAGCCAGTATAGTTTTCTGTAGCTGCAAACATAACTGACATACATGCGTTTATTAACACTAATCCGATTTCCGATTTAGGTTGAGTCAGTTTCCATATGTGCTCAAAGTTGATCATAAAATATCTGGCAGTTTATTCATCAAAGAGAAGAAATGACCTGTATCTCTAGTTTTATACATTAAGCTCGCCATTATGTAACGAACAATCTCTAACCAGTTTCGGGGCCAGAGTACAGAAATGGATTAACTTATTCCTTTCCATAATCTTAACATCTATCATTTAGCCGTGCTATTGATCTTCAATTGTCTAATAAGACAACTTAGCTTTACTTAAGCTTATCATATGAAGAATTTCACTATGCAAGTTTGTATTCCTTACCTCCGGGACCTGACGTGATGTAAGATGCGATCAGGTTTAGGTAAGAGACCAGATCACTCGCCCGTGGCACTGAGCGAATATCTTGCTCCTGCTGAACAGCTGGTAGAAGCTCCTGAACGTCGTATTTTTTGCCGAATGCCACGATAATAATATTTGCTCCCATTTGTTTTAATCGTTGAACTGAACGGTCAATAGCGTCGAGTCCAGCTTTCTGGGAATTTTGACCGCCGGTGAGGAGGACGACCGTTTTCTTGGACGTTGGCTCTCTTGATGACATCATCTTAGATGCCGCGTCAAGAGCTCGATCCATTCTCCTCGCTCCACCTTGATAACGACTCGAGTCAACCGCGGAGTAAAACTCGGGCATGGAATTATAACTATCAAAAAGCACCACTGGGTAATTGTTTTCGCCATATGCGATAACTGCAGCCTGAAATTCCGATGGCGATACGTCCGTATTCAGCTTCCTCGCTAACGATTTCACGAAGACGATTTCTTGATAAAAGTCAGGCGCACCAAGATCGGATGACGAGTCCATCAAAAACACAAAGTCATGTGTAGGGCTCTCAATATCATTATCTAAAAAGGATAGCAAAAAAGTGAAAATTAAGTATTTCGTGCACTAGCCAGTAAAACACCAATAGCCATGTAAGAAGATCAGATCCTTGCATCCCCCCAATTAGTATTTTCTGTGAGACAGTATAAATTGTAAGATTAGGGACATAGCTGAGCCAGCTCAGAGACTTAAAGTTCCTAAGTTTAATGTCTTCCATAACTGTTTTGCAGTAGATTTAAAAACCAAAATGTAAATGAAAATCTTAGTGAGAATGCAAATAAAAAATAGGCGAAGAATAAAACGCTACCTACGACGTGGGCCAAAAGATCTTAATATTTAACAGTAATTAAAAATCACCAAAAAAGAGCAAATTTTTTGTTATTGTTCTAATGCTATAGGACCTACGTCACAGATGTAGCCCATCTTCCATCCATCCATCTTCCCAAGCTGGTATGAGGGTTTATGGACTTGAAGGAAATTTGTAAATCTTAAAACAAAGAAGCTCTTTTCATTTTTGTAACACTAGAATGGAATTTAACGAACGTACCATCTCGGATGTGTTTGGCGATACGCCATACATCATGTTCCATAGCAATAAAAGGCACTCGGAACATGTCCTCCAGCTTTGTGACTAATGGACGTAGCTCTTGTGTGCTTGGCTCATTGCCGACAGCGACCACGTACATTTCGGAGCCCATGTCTTTAATTGGCTGAATGGACACATCAAGTGGTGTAACATCAGATTCCTGGGCCTGCCTTCCCGTAGTCAGAAGCACAAGAATTCTCGAAGACAAAGGATCAGTTGGTCTCAGAAGATCCGCCGCTTTATCGAGGGCACGATCAATTCTTCTACTTCCTTGAGCCGGGGTCATCCGTTCAATACCGCCTTTAAAACCTTTAAGAGACGAGTACTCGTCAAATTTGGCACTTACCGAAGGAAAGCTCCCGTAGTTGATAACAGCTGCCTTCGTTTTGTCTGCGCTTCCAAAGTGTAAATACTCTGCCAACGTTTTAATGAATTCCTTTTCTTTTTTAAACTGTTCTTGTTGAACGGCGGATGAAGAGTCCACAAGGAAAACGATGTAGTAGTCTTTCAAAGATGGAGTAGCTGCTGATGATACAGAAGGATAAAATTGTCAATACCTGGACAACAGGTCAAACAAAAAGTAAGTTAATTATTGTATCAAACAATTTGACAGGAATCTCCCGTCCAGAAGAGCTACTTTAAATGGAGTCCTGTACCTGAAGAACATCAAGTAGAAAATACAGTATAACAGAGACCAAACTAACTTACAGATTTTATAAACTGAAAGTTTAAATATCGTTTGTGCCCGAAGGGAACTCCTAAACTTGGAAGGGTTTGCTAGCAGCGAGTGTCCCAGAGTTTCGCCCCATTATGCTGAAATATATAAGGGCTATTGACCAAACGTGAGGTCAAGATGGCTGGATATTGGCCAAGTTCAAAGACGGCGTCGAGGTCCATTAATACGCAAAAAAGAAACGAGACTTATATCCAGCCATATTGACCGAACAAGTTTGGTCAATCAAGGATATATTATATTGGCTACAGAACATCAAAAAATGATCTTCGCGTTCGGGACACAGCGCATAATCCCAAGTAGGCAAGATAGCGCCATCTTGTCAATCACAGCGCAAGATTAAGTTCATCTTGCACGTTCACAGAGCACGCCATATAATAAAGATAAATATACAACGAGACATACAACTGTTCAGCGATACTACACCAATGAGATACATCTACTTACTTGTTCTGCTTGCTACTACTGAGGCTATTGAAGATACTTGAGACAGTAAAACGTCGAATGATTGTACTTTAAACATGTCTTTCGCGTCTTCAACAGCTGTTGTAAGTGTTGGGATGTCATGGTCCGTCCCTATGGCAACGATGAATGGCAGAGCCCCTACATCAAGGAGTATTTTCTTTACTTTATCTAATGGTTCTTCGTCGTCACCTGGTGTCTGTCTCCCAGCCGTTAGCAGGATGACCTTTCTATCAACGTCAGGTCTTGCTTTCTTGAACAAACCGACCGCTTCTTTCAATGCTCGATCCATTCTTCGGTCACCTCCATAAAATTGGATGTCATCTAAGAGGCGTTCTAAATCTTGAACAGTGCTATAATCGCCCAGCTGTATGACTGTGGATGGGTTCGTGCTGTACGTTATTAGCGCTGCTCGTGATTTTCCAGGAGAAACGCTTAGGGACCTGGCCAAATATTTAACAAATTCCTTTTCTTTGTCAAAGTTTTCCCTTCCAACCGGTGTTGAAGCGTCCAATATAAATATCACTTCCGTAGTAATGTTATGAATGGGTACGGGCGATTCTTAAAAAGCAAAACAGGACAATATTAATACATATTATTTATAGCGTCGGAAGCTTTAAAACTAATAGCAGTGCCTTTTTTCGGGTTATTTTTGGTCTAACAAAATGGTTTCATTTCGGTGACTGAGGAAAAAAATTCAATACACAAACGCTTCCTTGACAAAAATAAATAAATAAATAAATAAATAAATAAGTAAATAAATAAGTAAATAAATGAATGAATGAATGAATGAAAGAATGAATGAATGAATGAATGAATGAATGAATGAATGAATGAATGAATGAATGAATGAATGAATGAATGAATGAATAACAACAACAAAAAACTAAACGGCCCGATCGAGGTGGGATCCTATAGGTAGCTTTTGAAATGCTCTTCCCTAGTCGGCGTCAGGGGACCATTTCGTAAATGTTAATAAGGACCGTATAGTTAGAAACATGCTTAGAAGTTCGTTCAACTCACCAAAATGTTTAACCACGTGGTTAACAATCGGCTGAACCTCGTAGTGAAGGTCATCGAATAGTTTCACAACAAACAAGTCGCTTTTACTGTTGACAACTGGAAGGGAATCCTTGAAATCTGCCTCTCGTCCCACCGTAACAACAACAGTCTTCGCTCCCATATTTTTGAGTGGTCGGGCAGCTTCTCCCAATGGCTTAGCACCGGCACTGGCAGTTTGCAGTCCCGCTGTGACAAGGACAACGATTTTCGGAACGTTTGGACGTGCTTGACTCAGCAATGTAGATGCTGCTTCCAAGGCACGATCTATACGTCGGCTGCCTCCATACCACGGCTCCGTATCAAGCTTGTCATTAAAGTCTGTTTCGGATTGGTAATCAATGAACTTCAGAATGGTGCGCGCAAAGTTGCTGTAGGCGACAACAGCAGCTCTGGAGTTTCCTGGTGAAACGTTGAAATACTTTGCCAAGGATTTCACAAAATCTTTTTCCTTATTAAAGCCGTCTCGACCAACTGAGGTTGAAGAATCCAGTAGAAATACAATGTCGCCAGTGATGTTTGCTGGTTTTGGCTCTGAAAACAATTAAGTGGAAAGAATTTCATATAAAAAATGAAATGTTTTCAAGGAAGAAAAGTGCCGTTGCATTGTTGTAGCAACTTACAGTCCGAAAGGAGATTTGGGACTATTCGTCGGCAAACGAGAAAACGAAAATCTAGTTACTTATGGAAAATCTTAGTTTCTTTAGATGGCTAATCAAAATTGGTTTTTGCCTACTTATGGAGAGTTACTTGAATTTGAGGATAAAAAAATTTGCTGGCAAACTAAGAATTTCAAGATTGCAAAAATAGTATCAACTGACTGCCTGTATATAGGTACTGGTATTAGTGTAAGTTAAATCAAAGATCCTAAGCTGTCCTCTTCTGACATAATGTTTTTCAAAGTACAAACATTACTGCATGGTATTGACACAAGATATCTCAATACCACTGATGATCTTGATTTGTTTTGCCATGTCGTACGCTCGAGATGGGAGGGCCTTAAATGAAGGTACACGCAGGATATTTGTTGAAGTATCTGGATCATGTCCAATCGCAACCACAAACGTGTGAACTCCTAGGTTTTCCAAAGGCTTAAGCGCGTCATCAAGAGGAATGCCGTCTACACTGGATGATTGTTCTCCCGTTGTAACAAGGACAACAACATGCGGCATGCCCCGCCTTTTGTCAGCCAGCAAATTAGTGGCCTCTTTTAAAGCGATATCCATTCGCCGCAAACCCCCAACTGCCTGTGCCAGGTCTACACCGTCACTGAAGTCGCGTAAAGAACGGGAGTCATTAAACCGCATTTCTGTGATAGAAAATGTTCCGTAGAGAACCAAAGCAGCTCTTGAGGTCCCCGGAGAAACATTTAGGAACTTGGCCAACGATTTGACAAAGTCCTTCTCATCAACCAAGTTGCGTTGAGTTACAAAACTGGAGGCGTCCATCAAGAACACGATGTCAGCGTCGAAGTCTAGTGGCTGTTGCACTGAATAATAATAAGAAAAAATATTTTTTTTGTCGTGTGATCAGTTTGTCATTATATAATTGGACTAGCTTAATCTATTTGTTTACCAATTGTGCGATTGAACAAGTTTAGCTTGGTTATATAGAACGTGATGAAGTGAGGTGTTAACAAAGTTCTGAAAAAGTACTGACCGTTAAATTTGATTTTCATGCAATTGTTAGCTAGCAAACAGTAGCCTGCGAGTCAAAACACCATTTAGACTAGTCTTTTAATGCTTAAGTATACTCCTGGAATCTTGGAAGTCATAGAATTTCTTCACATGTTTGAGGTACGTGTGCTTAACTCCTTCATAACTGGTGGCAATATTACGTTATGCCATGAAGTGAGGCAGTACTAGAGACTTTACCTGATTTTTCAGCAATTGACTTCGAGATCTGCGTTGTTTGAGGCAATAGTGCTTCAAACTGTGGCACTTCAAATATGTCGTCTCGATCACCCACCAAAGTAACGAGTTCCTGCTTGTCAGGCTTACTGCTGATGGCAACGACGTAAGTCTGAGCCCCGAGATCAGTGAGGGCTTTTACCGCGTTTCTAAAGGGGAATGGGGTATTAGTAGAGGCCTGTTTTCCAGCTGTCAAAAGGATCACGATCTTTGGCACATCCCTGGTTGCCAGGTTCATTACCGATGCTGCTGCCTCCAAAGCTAGGTCCATCCTGCGCGGTCCATCGACATAACTAGCACTTTCTACAGCACGCTTCAAACCGTCCAGGTTGGTGGCCTCATCCAGCGTCAGCACGGTGTAATATTTGGAACCGTAGAAAATGACAGAGGTTCTAGACCTATCAGGCGCCACGTTTAAAGACCTGGCAATGGCCTTCACAAATTTCTTTTCCAATTGGAAGTTGAGTGACGTCACAGAATCAGAGGAGTCAACCAAGACAACAACATCGGCTATTATGTTCTCTGGTTTTGGAGCTTTAAAAGAGAACCAAATTAACAAAATTCATTAAACTTGTAAGTAATCTCTTTTTGCCAACAGTTATGTCACATTTTAGAAGAAATCTAGTCTCGAGCTTATAATCTTGTTGTTAATCAAGTAAAAATGTGACTATCTGACCGTCCCTTAAAGAAGTACCATGTAAACCGTTTCAGCTAGACAGTTCTGTTATCCTCTGAACTATAGTCTACGTGACTATATACGTAAGCCTAGCAGATAATTGGATAAAATTTCATTTCTCAAATGAA